CATCGTATTGTACGATACATATCGTATAGTACGAATGGTCAAAATCAAGGCATCATCTAGGATGAATTCTGGGACGATCAAGAGTCATCTCTGTTCAACATATAATACAATTTACATCGTACTATATGATGAGGCAAAAATAATGGATCATCCAGGATGATCCCCGAGATGATCAGAATTCATCTCTATTCATCGTATTGTACGAACTAGTTCGTACAGTACGATATTCAATTTGAAATTAAGCCTTGAATTATTCCACAAATCACGGGTTAATTTTAGTAAGTATTTAAAATAAATCGTACAGTACGAAATACTTTGTACAATACGAACGGCGGAGAAAAACTTACTTAAGTTAATTTGACAGCTAGGATTTTGGATTTGAACATATTATACAGTATGATATTATTCGTATGGTATAATCTATTCACAGAATCATCCTACAAGCTCAGATCGTACGGTATGAAATAACTTCGTACAGTACGATCTACAGAGAAAGAAAATCTCCAAATTTTTCTTTTAAAAAAACTCTCCCCCTGTGTGTGTGCATGGTTGCTCAGACTTTTATGTATTTTGTGGCCATACTTAAGAAAATAAAAATAAAATAAATAACAAAATACATTGTCAGACTCATTCTCCTAATCTACCCATCCTTGAGTCTTTCTGTCATCCTGAGTAGCTTGTGATCTTCCTGAAATGTTAGTACTCACGGACAATAGCAAATAAAATAATATTCAGTGAATAGATAATTCAGACGACATTATTTGTCATCATTAAAATCTCAAACTCGGGGTCATGGGTTGTAACACTCCACACTAGGTGTGTCCTACGGTGAATCGTGCAAGTGCAAGCTATGTGACCTAGCATGCCACAAGAGAAGCACTTAACACCGGGAAATGGGTTCACTAACCTATATGGGTAGTAATGCCTCTTCTTAAGTTTGAATGATTCATGCTGTTGTGATGGATTGCAAAACACTTTAAGTGAAGGTGGTTTTTTATTCTCTTTCAAAGCCTTTATCTTAACTTGTAAAAATTTGTTTGTAAGTTTTCAAATTTCAAATGATGTTCATTGCTATCTATCTCCACTGCAAGTTCCTCTAATCACTTATACTTAATTTCTAATTCAATATGTGATGTTTTCAAGGATTCATGTGCATCAGTTAATTCAATATGCTACTTATTTAATGCATCAAACTCATCAACCAGGGTCATGTGATCTCTATATAAATCAGAATTTTCTTTAACTAAGTTAGCATTCTCAGTTTGTAAAGTACTAAAATCAATATTAAGACTAGCGTACATTTTCTTTAACTTCCTGTACGAGTCATGAATTTTCTCAGAAATAACCAGCAAATCTTCATATGAAAGTTGACATACCTCGTCTTGATCCAATTGATCAAGATTATTGTTATCCATTAGATACAAATTTGTTACCTCCTCCTCTGCTTCTTCTTCTGATGATTCCGAGGCAGAGTCAGCCCAAAATGCTTTTTATGTCTTCATTTTCCCTTTCTTAAATTTTTCTTTCTCCTTGCCTTTTTCCTTAGTCGGGTGACTCTTTAAGTTGGGGAAATCAGCTCGGAGGCGACCTAATTTTCTACACTCAAAACAAATCGTGTCAGATGAAACTTTAGTAGTTCTAGAGCTTTTACCTTTATTCCAGTTAGTCTGATGACACATTTATTTTCTTTTCAAAAAGTTCTTGAATTGTTAGGTTATCAAGGCTATGTCATCTTCTTCCTCTGCTGCAGAGCTTTCATTTTTCGTGTTATTCACTTTCAATGCCACCGTCCGCTCCCTCTTCTTTTCACATTCATCACTTTTCCTTTGACTCACTCCTTGCTCATATGCAATGAGTGACCCAAGCATATTATAAATAGAATAAATGTTTAAGTCTTTAGATTTTGTGATTATAGTAATTTTAGCATCATAGGAACTATGTAAGCATTTAAGAATCTTTTTATCTTTTTCAGAATTTGAAATTTCTCTACCTAATGCATGCAAGGATGTCACTGTTTGGGTGAACCTAGTGTATATATTAGATATTATTTTGCTAGGTTTTATACGAAGAGTTCATAATCATGCAATAGAATGTTAAGTCTAGACCGTTTAACCTCACTAGTTCCTTCATACGTGATGCACAGTCTATCCCAAATCTCTTTTAATAGTAGCACAGGTAGATACTCTCATGTAGTAATCAAATTTCAATGCACAAAATAAACAGTTTAAGCACATCACATTTAATTGAGCTAAATCCCTATCCTCATTTCTATATTCATTAAACGGTACTTGTGTTTTTACACCATTCACAAGTTTAAACGGTGTAATGTAACCTTCTTGAACGAACATTCACATACGATAATCTATAGACTGTAAAAGTAGACATTCTATTTTTCTATAAATCAAATGGAATATTGTCAAACAGAGGTGGATGAGTTATTGAATAACCCTCTGTAGTATTATGATTACTAAAATGAGCCATAATCATTTTTTCAAGGTTTTCAAAAACACTATTTTTAAAAAGACAATCCTAAATCGGAGTTCTTAGTTTTTGTGTTTTTAAATTTTTACGAGAAAATTAATTGATACGAAAGCGAATGCTTAAAACACAATTGCAATAATAGGTGGTGAAAATTTAACTTGCTCAATAAAGAATTTTACTACGATTTTCACCAAGTAATTTTAATGAAAATAAAATACAAAATGTAAATAAAGTGCGGTAAGGAAAAAATCACACTAGAGAATTTATAGTGGTTCGGTCACTTGACCTATGTTCACTCCTCGGAGTCCTCCACTCCGAAATTTTCACTACTAAATTGTAATTCTCCTTTTGCCCCCACAGTAAGGTGGAGAAGCCTTTACAAACCTCACTTTCACCAACTCGGCATAGCGGAGTACCAAGCGCTATGTCACCCTCTCGGTTTTTCTCCCTCTTGGAGAAGGCATAGTGCCTTAGAGGACACAGACGTAGAAGATTCTGCCCCTTAGAGAGCCTCCCATAAGATTTTGTTGGGCCATAGGAGTAGCAGCCTGCAGCAAGCTAGGAGCAACCATGTGATCTCCTTCACACTCCTCCCTCACAAAGACCACATTCTCTTTCCTCTCACATATTAATTTCAAAAGATAAAAATTTAGATATTTAAATCAGGCTCCAAGAAACCCTAAAGATTTCAATTTAGCCATTATGATCGTACAATACGATCAAATATCATAAAGTACGATCAGTTCAAAACAGCCTTCGTCCTGGTATGAAGGATTACGAATAGGCAATATTTTTTAATAACATCATACAATACAATATAACATCATGTAAAATCCTTCTGTTCATACAGGACGAATGCTGGGACGATGAAAACTCATCACTGTACATCGTATGATACGAACCACTTCGTACAGTATGATTAGTTCAAAATCAAGGGATCATCTGGTACGATGTCCAGGACAACCAAATTCATTGCTCATACAGTACGAACCATGTCGTATATTATGATAACTAATCAAAAATTAATCCTTGATTTACTGACTAATCATGGGAGTTAATTTAAGTAAGTATTAAAAATATCGTACAGTACGATAGGATCATATAGTACGATCAGTTCAAAATTTACAAATTAAGAACTTACTTAAATTAATCTGGCAGCTAGTGTTTTGAATTAGAAACACATCGTATAGTATGACCTTCATCGTACAGTATGACTTGTTTATAAATAGCCGTTGAGGCAGAACATATCGTACAATACGATTGAAACTCGTATAGTACGATTGACAAAAAAAAATTCTTCATTTTAAAAACCTCTCCCGTTGTGTGTGTGCATGGTTGCTCAGTTTTGTATACAATTTGTGGTCATACTTAAGAAAAGAAAAAATAGTAAAAAAAAAATTATAAGGTTATAAACTCCAAATCCTACTCTACCCAGTCTTGAGCCATCTTGTTGTCCTAAGTAATTTGTAATCTCCCTGAAATGTTAGTACTTCAACAATTTTGACCCAAGCTTGCAAGCCTACGCTCTGGCCCACTTGAGACAGCTTGCGCTCGTTGCTCTAGTGCGTGCGCCCACGCCAAGCCTTCCCCCCAACCCACGTCTTCACGTAAATCCATCCAAAAAATAAGCTTGATGTTGAACATCATGCTTTTTTACTTAATTAGGTTAGAAAAATATATTTGGCCAATTGAAATTGGTCATGCTGTTAGCTTTATAATTTCTTTGGAAAGAAATTGGTTGATTGAAAGTTTTCATGAGGGTATTTTGGATTTTTTGGGTCAATCTCATTGCTTAATACTCATATTACATGAACATCATAGTAATTGCATGGGCGAACTTACATTTTTGAAAATAAAGTTTTCATGATCTCTGAATTGCATAAGTTTGGTTCATTCAAAATTGAGCCGAACTAATCAAATTAAAGTTTGGCTTGAATTATTTAATTAAAAAAATAATTTAATCACTTCAAAATTTTAAATTATAATTACAATCAATTCATTTAGCTAATTCTTGGCCTATTATTTGCTAGCACTCATGCATGCAATTTACTATAAATCAACAAGGAGGCAGTTGGTGTAAAGAATGGTTAAGGGGTGTTCTCTCTATCGACCGCTAATCGTTAAATAACATTATCGTTTAATAATTTTTCAATATGCTAACAATCTTAAGAACATACAAAGACATGTAATAATTCTTTCCAAAGAACATCCAAAAAATCTTACGTGGTTGGTAATTAGTCATCTCATCCCTCACATTTCTCCCTACCAAACACTTTCTCTTCAATCTCCTTGGACCAATGCCTTTTAAATCCATAAATTGAGGGGTCATATTGAGAGAGGTATGATAGCCACGGAAAAGCTCAACCATATTAATTATTTAAATCCACCCTCCTTACTCTTCTCCATCCTCATGTAATTATATTTATATATCCTCTCTATTTTCACCTTCCATACAATACAACGAACTAAATCTCTTTCCCATCCATATAGAAATCACGCTTTCATATCCTTCTTCAACAATGGTTTCGGCTGACCAGATACGCACCGCCGTTGGGATCATCGGCAATGCCATCTCTTTTGTCCTCTTTCTATCACCCATGTAAGCATATGTATCTCTCCTTCGGATACTGAACATTTACAATGTTTTATTTATACAAGTTTTTTATTTGCTTTCTATAGTAGACAAAATTTTAAAAAAAATAATGATAAAAATCTATCACAATCAAAATCTTTGCATAAAAATTAATAAGATACATATTATCTCATTAAAAATTTGATCCAGTTGTATTACTGCTCTAAATTTTTTACAATAAAGATATAGTTTAACTTCTTAGATTTTTTTATCGGCCAAATTTTTAATTATATTTAACCATGTTTATTATTATCTTAAAATGTAAGAAAAAAATATAAATCCTTTTTAACTATCATGCTAGATATTAGTGGCAGTTTGGTTTGTTATAAAATGTTATAGGGAGATCTCAGATTTTTATTTAATTTTTCTGGCATTATTAGAAATAATTTTTTTTTTGTATAATTAATTACAACATTAAAAATATTGATATATATCTTTGGGCACAATAATATTAAATCGAACCCATATTATTTTAATTATTTTATAACATTTCATTCTTAACAATATTAAGAATTTAAGATTAGAACACCTTGTATTGATTCTATTAATTTGTGATGGATTTGATGACTGCATATAAGAATGAACTGAGCCACTTAAGCAGTACAATATCTTTCATAATATTTTCACATATAATCATGTATTTATGCAATATTGTAAATACATATATTATATTTTTCAGGCCAACATTTTTTCGAATATGTAAGAACAAATCTGTGGAGCATTTCTCTGTAGTTCCTTACGTTGCGACGTTGCTCAACTGTATGCTTTGGGTATTATATGGTTTGCCCTTTGTGAAACCTAACAGCACGTTAATAATAACCATTAATGGAGCCGGCATTGTGATAGAGCTCATCTATATTTTTATCTATCTCCTCTACTCGGACGGGTCGAGACGGATCAAAGCCCTTCTACTTCTCATCACAGACATCACCTTCATTGCTGTCGTTGCTGCTATTGTCCTTTCTGTTTTCAAATCACATGAGCGAAGAATACTTATTGTTGGTATTCTATGTATCATTTTCTGCATCATGATGTATGCCTCGCCTCTCTCTATTATGGTAAGTTAGAACAACTGCATGTTCATTTTATACAATCAATAAATTATTATTAGTAAAAATATTTATTGTAAATACCTATTAATAATATTATTAATATTTTAAATAATAGATTTATGTTCCATTTAAAAAATTAGTCTCATTAAAGTTTTCATGCACAAGTGACGTGCTTCATGTTTTCCATGTTTTGCAGAAAAGGGTGATAAGAACAAAGAGTGTGGAGTACATGCCTCTGTATCTCTCAATTGCTTACTTCTTTAATGGGCTTTGTTGGACTACTTACTCACTCATCCATCTTGACGTGAACCTCACGGTAATTGCATGAGTCAACTTCCATTTTTTATTTTTTATTTTTTGCATTCATGAAAATGTTGTAGTAGCTCTAGAGGAAATAAGATTAGAGAGAGTTACATTAGATGATTTGATCACAAAAAATGTTTGTCTTTCGATGATCTGATAAGGAGAGTAGATGCATTATATCTGACCTATATTGAGAAAGTATAAGTAGACCAAAAAGACTTGATTATAAAGTATTAGAAATTATTTTTTAAAATTCAATTTTAATGAGAATTTGACTCTTAAAAGGACACAATGAAGGAAAAAAAATTCATTTAGTCGACCTCAACATAGTGGGAAAAACATGTATTGTGTATAAGTAGACCAAAAAGACTTGATTAGAAAGTATTAGAAATTATTTTTTAAAATTCGATTTTAATGAGAATTTGACTCTTAATAGGACACAATGAAGGAAAAAAGATTCATTTAGCCGACCTCAACATAGTGGGAAAAACATGATGTATTGTGGTCCCTGGATTGTATCAGATCTGCTTTGAATTGTATTATTTACACTAATATTAATATGACATTCCTCAAAAATTGGATTCCTCGTGTCGAAGTTGAAAAATAGCAGAATTAGATTTAAATGAGAATTTGACTCTTTATAAGACACAATAAAGAAAAAGATTACATGTAGCCAACCTCACGTAGTGGGAAAAAGATTTGATGTTGTTGTTGCCCTTGGATTGTATCAGATTTGCTCTAAATTGTATTACTTGCAGGAATATTAATATGGCATATATGCATGGTAGATTGGATAACCCGAGCTAATATTTGATGAGCCAATCATTTTCAAGTCTAGGAGATATGAATGTTTCACACGTACAATTAACTGCATTTAAATGCTAACAAAAATTTGAAAATAATGTAGCCCATTTTGTAAGAATATTTTCTATGAATGGTTCTTTCATTGCAATTTCTGGGTTTAAGGTCGATTTAGCATATATGTGTATATATATGAATTTGAGATTAAATTACTCAAAGTCCCTTTAAAATATAGAATCTAGCTATTTGACTGATTGGACATGAGTAATATTTCCATCTGATTGATAAATTTAGCAATAATAATGTTTTATTCACCTAAATTTTTAATGTTTATTTACACATAATTAATTATTAAAAGTTAAGCATAATTTGGATCATTGTTCTTTAGGTTTTAGTTTCCTAATCAGAGTCTATGTTCTAGAATAATCTTTTGAAATATTAAAAGCTTATTCTAGAATAATTCTTAAAAAAAAAAATTAAATAGGATTTAATGTTTTCATGACTAAAAAATAAAAAATATTTAGAGAGTTAATTTTAGCCGTTAGATTGAATAGTATGGGTATAACATTAATGGAAGTACTCCTGGTATAAATGGTGATATTATCTATAAGTTTATATAAAGCATAGTGATTAATAAAAAAAAAAGTAATCTCTTCTATCAGATATTGCTTTTCTTATCTCCTTAACTTTTCCTATACCTAAAAGCTTTTCTAATTTTAACCATTTCTATTTATAAAGTGCAGTTAATGACATCTACCTCATGCATTTGCCATGCAATTTAACTTTAAAACTTGTTTAATGAATTAAGTTTATCACATTAAAAAATAACTAAGATTCATATTGATGACAAATCTTCAATAGCGTTAGCCAAAAATTTAATTTTTAATGATGAAGATAAGCATAATGATACACTCTATCATTTCTCTCTCTCTCTCTCTACATATAACTATCTCCTAATTCTTAAATTTATGTTTCAGATTCCAAATGCAATTGGGCTATTATTTGCTATAGCTCAATTGCTCCTACATGCAATTTACAATAAATCAACAAAACGGCAGTCGAATGAAGGGAAGAGCGAAGTTACTCTCTCTGAGGTGAACATTACCAATTAAAATGTCTACAGTCCA